GACAATGACAGGGATCAATGACAGGGTCAATGACCCGGGGCACATGGACATGTTGATGCTCTCGGGTCGTACGTGTCACTGTCCCAGAACAGAAGTTTAGATAAAATCTTAGTTTAATTTCAGATCTCGACTCCAGTTTAGAGAAACTCATTTACATATTTGATATTTAAAAGTCGACGACGCACAGACAGAGACACTTTCAAAGTTTTTAAGGTTATAAAATGTGTCCAGTGTTTAAATGTTGTTTTTCTTTGTCCTCATTTGGTTTTGGTTTTGTTAGAATAATTGTAGAGCCGACACTCTCCAGGCCCTCGGAGAAAGTTGTGTCTGAAAGTTAAACGAAACATATGCACCTGCTGTTGATAAAACATATTTGTCATATTTGTATGTCTGGTGTTTCTGCTGTTTTCACTTCTCTCCCTGAGAGCGACACACCCAGTGTAACTAGGGACCCTCCAAGGACAATAAAAAGAGGAGATGCAGAGAGACCACCAGAGCGGGTCCAGACTGTAACAGTGAATGCACTCTCTGTCCACCCTCCTCATGAGAAAACAGTTCTAATCTCTTGTCTTTCTTCTTGTTTTTACAATGTTTAGGTGGGTTTAAACCTGACAGTTTTGATTTCACTAATTACACTAATTGTCTTATTTTCCTTCCTCTGAGTCACGCCCAAAACTAAAGTCCACAAAAAAAACATGTTCAACAAATCAACAAATCATCTGAACTCAGGCCCATAAAAGGACAGACCACACCCCCTCACACCTCCACCTCACCATAAAAGGACAGACCACGCCCCCTCACACCTCCACCTCACCATAAAAGGACAGACCACGCCCCCTCACACCTCCACCTCACCATAAAAGGACAGACCACGCCCCCTCACACCTCCACCTCACCATAAAAGGACAGACCACGCCCCCTCACACCTCCACCTCACCATAAAAGGAGCAGGTAAAGTGACTGGTGAATGAGATTTCCCTAAACATGAGTCGATAATCAGTGGGTTTGAGACACGCGGGACAGAGGAGGAGGAGGCTCCACGCAGCACCACGTGATCACGACAAACACTTTATTAAAGACTTTATTAAACAAAGTTTAATAAATAAACACAAAACTAAAAGTCCTTCCCTCACTCCCCTTCCCTTCCCTTGTTCATGAGTGAGGGAAGGACGGAATGTGAGATTGACAGGTGGACAGGTGCAGCGTCTGCAGTGATGCGGTCGCTGTATCGGATCGTTGTGGTGAAGAGGAGCTGAGCCGAAAGGTGAAGCTCTCGATTTACCGGTCAGTCTTCGTTCCTACTCTCACCTCTGGTCATGAGCTCTGGGTAGTGACCGAAAGGACGAGATCGCGGATACAAGCGCTCGAAATGAGTTTCCTCCGCAGGGCGTCTGGGCGTCTCCCTTAGAGACAGAGTGAGGAGCTCAGTCACACGGGAGGAGCTCGGAGTAGAGCCGCTGCTCCTCCACGTCGAGAGGAGCCAGTTGAGGCTCGGGCATCTGTTCTGATGTCTCCTGGACGTGTCCCTCAGGAGGTGTTCATGTCCCACCGGGAGGAGGCCCCGGGGAAGACCCAGGACACACTGGAGGGACTATGTCTCTGGGCTGGCCTGGGAACACCTCGGGGTTCCCCCGGAGGAGCTGGAGGAAGTGTCTGGGGTGAAGGAAGTCTGGGAGTCCCTGCTTAGGCTGATGCCCCCGAGACCCGACCCCAGGATAAGCAGAAGAAAATGGATGGATGGAAAACTAAAAGTGACAACGACGACTCATCTGTTCATTTAATCATATTTTATACTATTACAGCAGCACATGTTTGCAGTAAAACACATGTGTTTTTTTCACTGTTTCAAGAGTTTTATCTCTATATTTTTAAGTCTATGATGTGTGTGTGGACTGGCCCTGTATATTTAATGTACATATATATGTATATTAGGGACGGGCATTTGATGAAATTTTCTTAATTGATTGTCAGAAGTATTAACGATCGATTATTGATTAATCATTAACGTTTTTATATTAAAATGATCATCATTATTATTACTATCTGCACTAATCTGCATCAATAAATTCAACTTTACGACATATAAACATAACGACTCTAGATCCACATCAGCTGTTTGACATTATAATGTGTTTAATTCAGTTTTGTTCAAATCTCACAGAAACAAAACTTAAAACCACATCACTAATTTACATAAACTAAGTGAAGATAAAACTCCAGCTCTTGTGTCGCTGATGTGGTTCAACTTGTGTTGGATTAAAAGACATGACTCAGGTGAATACAGGTCAGTGTGACCAGATTTGTGTTTGTCAAAACCAGGACAGCGTACGGGGGGAGGGGGGCGGGGCCTCGTCATCCACATTGAGCGACTCTCACCTGGAAAAACTTTTTTTCCCACTGGACACAGAAACATATGTGCTGCTTTATCCACTGTGCACATGGACTCACACTTGTCCCAACGCAACGGAAAGTGTGGAATTTCTTCTACAAATCCTGGTTAAATCCACATTTGTGCTTCGGTTCGTTACAGACTGACCCACTGTTTGTGTCTCGCTCCTTCTGATGCAGAGACACATGTACACACCTGTTTGGTCACGACACACACACATACATTCAGTTTGTCCATTAAAATCAACGTAATCGATGAAATTCTTAATGATCAACTATCGATTAATCGATTAATCATACCCATCCCTAATGTATATACACGTAGATACGTGCTGATCTGAATGGTCAAATTATGAGCACGTGTGAGAGATTCAGATGCCCTCCCCTGGAGAGGGAAAGGAGCGAGGGAAGGACACGAGGACACGAGGACACAGATTTAACACGAAACACATCAGATACAGAACCTGTGAGTGTGGGTCTGTGAGTGTTGTCCGCAGACTCGGGTCACAGACTCGGGTCACAGACTCGGGTCACAGACTCGGGTCACAGACTCGGGTCACAGACTCGGTCACAGACTCGGGTCACAGACTCGGGTCACAGACTCGGGTCACTCTGGCGCTCGGTGCGTAAAGACTAAAGTAAAAGTGTTAAAGTTTTGTTCATTAAATCAAAGTCTGGCTCCTGCTGCGTCCGAGGGAAGAGTTTAGTCTCAGGTCGGGTCATTATTTCGTCCTCTGTGTTGGTCAGTCTGTGTTTTGTAGGAGTCTGTGGTCTTGGTGTGGACTGTGAGACTCTGCGCTGCACCAGGTCCGGGATCGTGGCCGCGCTCGTGCACGAGTTTAAATGTTTAATATTGTGGAGAATAATGAGTGGAATAAACAGACCTGCTCAAACATTTAAATGCACAAATCTGAAGGTCATTCTTCTGATCAAACTCTTCCTCAAACTCTGTTCACTTCTGCTTCTCTCCACGAGTGTCGCTTTTTCCCCGTGTCTCCAGACTTTGTGTAGAACTTACAGGAGGTTCAGAGTTGGAGTCGAGTTACGCAAAGAGCCACGCCTTAGTCCAGTTTTATAAACACCGCAGTTGGTGCAGAAAGCGACACCGCACGGATTTTTGCGTAAGCGAGATTTATAAATGAGGCCCCAGATCAGACCAGACCAGACCAAGGACCAGACCACAGACCGGACCACAGACCGGACCACAGACCGGACCACAGACCGGACCACAGACCGGACCACAGACCGGACCACAGACCGGACCACAGACCGGACCACAGACCGGACCACAGACCGGACCACGGACCGGACCCAAACAGATTAGACCCGCCCGGACCGCGGTGTCGGTGCTCCGGAGTTTTTGGCCGCGACTGTGACCCGAGATCAGCGCGTCTGTCCCGGGAAGAAACGAGCGGAGAGACGCGGTTTATGACCGAGGTGAAGACACGGAGACACGGGACACGGGGACAACACGGAGACACGGGGACACGACACGGGGACACGGGGACACGACACGGGGAGACACGGGGACACGACACGGAGACATGGGGAGACACGGGGACGGGACACGGAGACATGGGGAGACACGGGGACGGGACACGGGGAGACACGGGGACGGGACACGGGGAGACACGGGGACGGGACACGGAGACATGGGGAGACACGGGACGGGACACGGGGACACGGGGACACGACACGGAGACACGGGGAGACACGGGACGACACGGGAGACACGGGGAGACACGGGGACACGGGGACACGGGACACGGACACGGGAGACACGGGGGACACGGGGACACGACACGGGACACGGGGAGGACACGGGGAGACACGGGGAGACACGGGGGGACACGGGGAGACACGGGGAGACACGGGGACGGGGACGGAGGGACACGGGAGACACGGGAGACACGGGAGACACGGGGGGACACGGGGACAGTTCGCGCTTTGTGAAGAAACGAGGCGAAAATCAGAAGAAAAAAACAAAAACAAAACTCACGTCATCGTCCGCCGCCATCTTTGTTTACTCCACTTCCGCCCTCACTCTGACTCTTCTTCTTCTTCTTCTTCTTCTTCTTGTAGCGCCGCCAACTGATCAGGAGCGTGAACTGAACCGCGACTCGGCGATAATCAAAACAAAATTAAATAAATAAATATGTAAATAAATAATAACAGTGATCAATTGATAACTAAAGCAAAATAATAAATCCAACCCTGTTAATCAAATTAAAATCCCTGAGAAACTTGAGTAAGATTTTAAAACAGTTATTCCCTGGATGCTGTTGTAATAATTCTCTCACGTCAAATTTCATAATATTTTATCTTCAATCCTTTTCTTCGTGTTCATTCTTTCTCTTGTGTATTTTCTACATACCGGTGTTATGTTTTTCGATTTTATGTCATGAATAGTTGAGTTTATTCCGCTCCACTTTTTTGTTTTGTTTTAGCGCCTCCTGCTGACGAGGAGCGTGAGCTGAAACGTCGGTGTGGTTCTATGTTCCGCACTCAAACCTGCAGAACCGAACCGGGTCACGGCCGATGACGTCATCACGCGGCGCTGTTTGTTTTTAGCGAAAAAAACAAACAAAAAAAACTTCAGCGGGAAAAACTTT